CCTTGCCAGTTCATGTCCTTTCCTAAGATGGCATCTGAGCCTGCCCAGGCCCGGCTTCAGATGGTGTCACTTCATTCTTCCCCATCCTGCCAAATTTGGCACCTGTATTTCTCCAGACTCGGCCACCTGGGTCTAGAATGAGGTTGCCGGAGGTCAGCCTGCTGGGACCAGCCTCCTAATCTCCTTGGGACGTTAGCTGCCCCAACATTACAATGGGATGGAAGATAAAAAATATGAGGACCGGGGGAGGGCAGAGATCCTGTCTGCCTTGTTTACTGTTTAGCTCAAAGCAAATGCTCAGTCAAAGATGTGAGTGAATGAATGAAGGCGTGACAGGGGAGATACTAGGCTTACAGTCCCCTCCAAACACCCAGGCAGTGCTCACTGCCCGCACAGACAGGCCACCTCCTAGAGGGGCAGAGAGAGACAACAAGTCAGCTTAGTAACCATCACCTCTTTATTTACAGCTCAAGAGAGCACATGCAACACAGGACAGGGGCGTAGCACCTCCCCCCGCCCGCTGCTGCCCCACACTTTAGAGAGGAACCACCAACCCCCAGGCAAGTTCCAAAGAGTCAGAACACCCGGCACTGAGGGCCCCAGGCCCAGGGGCCGCTCTTGATTTTCTCCAAAAACGAAGACCTGTTCCAGCCCCGGAGGCTGGGTCTCAGAGCCTGCGAGTTCAAGTTCGTGAAGGTTATCAACTGGGCGAGCCGGGCTGTCGACTCGCACCCGAATGTAAATGTCCCTGAATCACCTCAATCAATGTCCCCGCGTCCTAGACCTGTCTCTCTCTCTACGCGGCATAAACATGGCCGAACTGGAGAACTTGTGAAAAAACTCACCTGGCCCCACCCCCAGAGATTCTGATTCAGCAGGAGGGGCCCGGGCCGCATTTCTACCCAGCTCCGGGGAGGGGGACACAATGGGGGTCAGAAAGGACGAGGAAGCCTCGTGCGCCCAGGAGAAGCCACTGATCTTGAATCACACCACCCGTCCTGACAGAGGGTGCGGAAAAATAACTAACTCCCTGCAATGTAAGTTCCTGGTTTTGCAAACTGCTAGTTCCTGCCACGCTCTCCCCAACACACGTGTGCGCACGCACACACACTCTCACACCCTCCTCACAATCTCCTGTGAGATCGAGGGTCATCATAGAGGTGACAGTGCCCCTTCCAGCCTGTGAAACCGCAAAGGTGGAGCCGATATAGTTTGCTTTTTGGCCTCTCTTGCCACCCGTCCCTGTACCCTGGTCTCCCTTGCTGTCCTGTTTTACAAACATGTTCCTTGCAGGTTACTTGCATCTTCACCGTGTCTCCAGCTACAGAGAGGATCCCACTCCAGGGGGCTGTGTGCCCACCACTCAGCCTTCGATTTTATTGGGTGTGTTGGACGTGGCTTGAAGGAACGGTCCACCTGCAGCCTCTCCGCAGGGGAAGGGGTTGCGGCTTCGCGATGGGGCTTGTATCTGTTACTCCCCAAAGGGCAAATGAAGCTGCCACTTTCCCATGAGGCTTTCTTCCTGTGTCCTCTGACCCTCAGGGCATTTGGGGACTGCTTGGTGCCACCAAGCAGATCATGGAAAGGCAGCCCGTGGGAATGGTGAATATCTCTGGGGACCGGCCTAAGACTCTACAGGAGGAATGCAGGGGGCACAGGTGACTGTCCCAGCAGCTATTGGTTTCCACTTGGCCCCGGGCTCAGGTCCCCACCCCCTTTGCCGCCACCAGAGTGTATTTTTAAAAGCTTGTGAACCTGTTATCTCAAAGCCACACACACCTCCGGCTCTGCCTGGAGTCTGCGCATGCTGCCGCAGGCGGGTCCAGAGCAGTTCGCTGAACCTCAGTGACCACAGAACTCCCTGTCCTCTCTTCTAATGGGGCACCTCAAGGCCCCAGTGTTCCGGGGGACACACTTTGGGGAAGGAGCCTAATGGTGGCTTAGAAATGATCTTTGAATACGCAATGGATCATGAGCAAAGGACGCCTATTAAACTGATCCTAGGAAATAAGTTCACTGAGCCGGGGGGGCTTATTACATGCCTAGCACTGTTCAAAACACGCTGTAAGGATTTCGCGATTACTTTTCACAATACTCCCATTAAGGAGGAGTTATTGTCCCCATTATACAGATGAAGAGATCAAGGCACAGAGACCTTAGGAACTTTTCTAAGGTCACGAGGTGGCGAGGGCGGGAGCAGGCCTTGGTCACCGGCTCCACTCTCACAGGTGGTAGGACAAGGGCAGCCCTCGGGCCCAGCCCCACATTAGTCCCTGGCAGAACCTTGAAAACACAGGGATCCCAGGCACAGCCCAGACCAGTTAAACCAGGATCTTTGCAGGTGGGCCCCAGACACCGGTGCCTTTGGAAGCTCCCCAGGTTATTCAAATGTGCAGCCCAGGCCGAGCCTCGAGCGGGGAACTGCAAACTGCGGCAGGCGGGCCCAGTCCAGCCCACTGCCCGTTTTTGTGTGGTCCAAAGTTAAGAGAGGTTTTCACATTTTTCAGTGTGCTTTCAAAAACCAAGAGAAGAATGGCAGCTTGTGACATGGGAAGACTGTATGAAATTCAACTCTCAGTGTCATAAATCGTTTTAATGGAACCCAGCCTAAAAATGTGTGTTTGGTCCTTTATGGTCAGGTTTGCTGAACCCTGGATTAGGAGAAACTGGCTTCTGTGTCAGCAGAAGGAATTTAAGATAGACCTAAGGAAGAACTTCCTGGCAAAAGAGTTTTGCTAAATACTTGAGGGGGCTTTGGGATCCCTAAATCTGGAGATTAGAGGATTTCACTGCCACCTCCACCCTACTCTGCAAAAGCCAGATGGAGACAGCAGAGCAAGTAGATAGCTGGGCCGCGAATTTCCAAGTGCCCTGGTGGGGAGTGATGGCTCTGTGGGGCCTTCTGGCTCTGTCTTGGCCTTCTGGGTTCCATTGCTGATGTCCTGGGCCATCTAGCCACTGTCCCCAGCCTTAATGCCAGGTTTCCTGCCAGGAGCCACACCCTCCGGTGATCTCCAATCAGCCACCTCCTGTGAGGCACACACAGCTCTCAAACAGACAAAACTGCCTGACAGATGGAGGATTCGATTTCCAAAGAGCTAGCTTTGATCTCTTTCAGTTCCCCTGCCCCACCCGGCAAGACTCCCCTGCCCATCGAACTTGAACAGGAGAAAAGAGCAAGCATATTCGGTTTCTGCTAGATGAGGCCGCTTTCCCTGGTGCCAGACCCCTTGACCCTGGCTGATTTTCCCAGGGGAGTAAACAGCCCAGGCATCCCGTTGGCCTGGCCCTTCCCTCCAGCAGGTGTCCAGGCCTGCAAAGAATTTGGATGGGTAGGGCTTTTGTCATTTGAGACCTGGTTTGCCCTGGGCCAGAGGGTTGGTCTGGAATGAGATGCCCGTGGGCTGGGGGCCCCCAGGTGGCCCGCTAGAGCCACCTCTGCGTGGAGAGATGTTCTGGGTGGGCACCGTGGGTCTGGCCTGGGGGAGCAGTTAGCTTCAGGCACCCCAACCTCAGAGGGGCCCCAACTCCTCAGTGGGCTCCGTGGCAGAAGTGCGGGGTGGGGGTCCTGGCTTGGCCTCCAGGAAGCCCAGGAACCACTAAGATGTAGCCAAGCAGAGGCGCATGGGCAGTGTGTGCTTTTTGAGTCCATGCCTGAATTAGATTTCCAAAGGGCTCGAACTACAAAAGCTAAAGAGCTCCTGGGAGGAACGCGTCAGGGCAACACCAAAGCACCGGTCCCAGGACTGGGCGAGCAGGGCTATGGGAATTTAAGGAACCTGTCGTATCTCCACATGCCAGCTCCCAGAAGGCAGGGGCCCGTCTGCCCAAATCATGCCATCGACAAGCAGGTGCTTAGTGCAGGTTTGGTTTTGCTCGCAAGGGGATGCCCCCTGGTCCAGGGAGGAAGAGAGCGGTTAGTTACTGCAGCTTCACCCCAGCGAGAGACTCCCAGGGAACGCTCCTCTTGCTGAAAGCCCTGGAGAGCCTGCAACAAGTCTAGTTGTGACAAAGCAAGAACGTGGGTTGTGGAGCCAGACAACCTTGGGCCAGGTCCTGATCACAGCTCCACATCTATTCCCTAAGCAGGGGCGTCCAGCCCAAGGCCCATGGACCATGTGCAGCCCAGGAGGGCTTTGAACGTGGCCCAACACAAAATCATAAATTTACTTAAAACCTTTTTTTTTTTTTTGCTCATCACTTTTTTTAGTGTTTGTGTATTTAATGTGCGGCCCAAGACAATTCTTTGTCCAGTGTGGCCCAGAGACGCCAAAAAGTTGGACACCCCTGCAAGGCATGGGTGGGCGCTCTTGGGGGGCTGGAGGGGCGGACAGGCAGTGTGGGCAGGCCCCCAGAGCTTGCTGCAAAGGCGGAATCGACTGAATAGAAATCTGCACTTTCACCTGACCGCAGGGGATCGGTGTACCGGTTAAGGTTTGAGGAGCATTGATCTGGGACCCTGGACAAGTCATAGGACTCAACTGTGCCTCAGTTTCCCCGCCTGTAAAATGGTGATAATACTTCCTTTAGAAGGTCATGTGATAACTAAATAGGATAATGTGTGCCACGCTTTCAGCACAGGGCGTGGAACGTACGTAAGAGGTACAACTCTTCACTCCTGCCCTCGAGTTCCCTATCTCTGGGAGTTTCCATTTCTTTTCCTTTCCAAATTAAACCCGGAGTTATTGCAGTGTGGCGGTCTGACAGTAGAGGGCGCTCTCGACATTGCCATCGCGGAAAACCGGGCACCCAATTGCCGAGGCCGTGAGAGCGGGTCCGCCAGCGGTGGTGGGTACAGATGTGCTTGATGCGCCTTGGCTACTGGGCAGAGGGAGGTCACCAGAGATCCCGCCCCGGGGCTGCAGGTCCTGGGCCGGAGCCTGCAGCCTCAGACATCGGGTCCTACCATTTGCTTTCCCACTGCTAGTTATACACAAATTGCCCTCTTCTCCAAACCTCCAGCGCTGAGTCCCCGGGCCTGCGGGGGGCACCTTCATCTGGGCCACTAGACGTTGATGAAGGATCCCTGGTCCCCGTTAGCCGTCTCGGGCTCCACGCACCGCCCCTTCCTCCGTGTGACCCTGCGGTTCCGGTGGAACTTGGCGTAGCAGCGCAGCCCTGAGTGAAGGGAGTAAAGAGGGTCAGGGGTGTTCCCCGCCCATCTCATCCCCATCCTCCCACCCCACACCCTCTGGGACCCCTGCAGCCTCTTCCTACCGTCCCCTTCTTTATTCTGCCCACCAACCAACCCATCCTCTACACAGTAGCCTGAATGCGGAGAAAGGGAACGGTGGACAGATGGAGCACCAGGGTCGTATGGAGCCGTGAAACAAACTATTCTGTGTGATACTGTAACGGTGGGTACATGCCATCATGCACTTACCAAAACCCATAGAACGCAAAACACGAAGCGTGAACCCTCACTTATACTATGGACTTTAATTAATAATAATAATGCATCAAGATTGGTTCATCAATTGTAGAAAGTGTACCATACTTATGTGAGGGAACAGTAAGGGAAACTGCAGAAGAACCCTGTGTTTTCTGCACAATTTTTCTGTGAACCTAAAACTGCTAGGAAAAAAGTCTATTAAAGGCTTTTGAAAGGAACACACGTTCTGCCCTCCCGTACAAAGCCTCCCAGCCTCCCCATTGTACACAAAAGGAAATCTAACTTCAGTCTTCTTGCCTTCCCTCATCTATCCAGCCATTTCCTGCCTCAGGGCCTTTGCACATGCTGTTCTCTCAGCCAGAGATCCCTTCCCCAGGCCCTTGGCAGAGCGGGTTCCTTCATGGCCTTCAGGTGTCAAAGAGACCCTCCCTGACCACCGAAATTAAAGTAGGCGTGGCCCTCCTGGCGCATGGGGGGGAGTTTCCTGGCTGCGGCTCTCTCCGCTGAGATCCATGGGTAGAGGTACTTTTCATTTAAGGCCACATCCTCTTGATGATGGGGAAAAACATGTCAGTGTGGCCTGAGTAAACCCCAACATTTCCCTTTAGGAGTGACCACAGACAGAGAGGACATCGGTACTTTAAGGTCTACTTTTGTCACTGTTAAGAGAATAAAGGGACTGCTATGAAGTTTGTGCTCACTGGCCTAGAATTGACACCTGGGTCACTGGGCTTTAAGACCTGTGGCCACACAAGTGACACCTGGGAGTAGACAGAGGGTTCATGAGCAGGAATGGCTGGTAGCTACAAAAGCCCTTCCAGAACTCTCCAGAACCCAGGCTGGCCCTGACTGCTGGACTTCAGACCTGAGCCCCTTGTTCAATGTTTGGGGGTATCTCAGGAGTCCTCAGGGCTCCTGCTCCCCCTGAGGGTTCCTGGCACCCCCTGGGTCCCTCTGGGGTGGCATCTTGGTGAGAATCTCCTCCTGCACCATCTTGAGGGAGCTGCCAAACTGCCACTTCCACTCGTCTTCTTTTTTGAGCCTGAGTCTCGAGGGAGGAAGCAACAGTTTTGACGGAACCGACCATCGCGAGGGATCAGTGGAAATTAACAGATGGGGCTTTGTTTGTAGACGTCTCCTTTGGATGCCTGGAAAGCTGTTCCTTCCCACTAGAGACCCAGGGAGGAAGGGAGGATTGATTTTGATTCCTGGGCAGAGGGGCCACCACTGAGCAGCCAGCCAGGCACCAACTAGTCATGAGCAGCTCAGTAGGGCCAAGCCCCCCTCACTCAGCGGGGCTGGACCTGGATGCCGAGGACTGCGGTTCAGCCCCTACGTTGTCCTGGGCTCCCTGGACCAGAAAGCCTCCTGCCCTCTCTGCACCTCAGCCTCCTCCTCTGTGAAACGGGGCCCCAGCCCTGCACACAGGTACCAGGAAGCAGCTTCCAGCATCCCCCCAGTTTCCATTCCTGCTGCCCCCCTCCCCTCTCACCTCCCAGCTGGTCCTTCCTGTCTCCATCCCTGCCCCTCACAGCTCTGCAGCCTTAAAGAGGCTTTTAACCCCCAAGTCAGACCATGTCACTGGCCTACTTAAAACCCACCTGCACCTTCCGGTTACAAACCAAATGAGGCCAACAAGGGCCTGTGTGACCCTCGTAACCGGCCTCCCCCACCGCCACCCCGTGTGCCGCTGGGGCCACCCCGTGCCAGCCCCGCTCAGCACACCGGCCTTGTTCCTGCCCGAGGTCCTTGCCTTTTCCCTGCCTCTCGCCTGGGGCTCCCCCCGCCGCCCACACCTTCAGGCGGCTGATGCTGCTGTCCACTCCTGTCCGTCCTTTCACGAGGCCTCCGGACTATTTTCTTTACAGCTCTTACTGCTTTTAAATACATCTCATCTATGTATTTGATTGCTGTCTGCTCATCTCACCAGAATGGACTCTGGATGCAGAACTTGCTGGTTCTTTTAGCTGCTGAGTCCCCAGTGTCCAGAACAGCACCAGACGCATAGTAGGTACTCAATAAACACTTCTTGACTTCTTGACTATGTAATGTTACTGCTTTCACAGCAGATAATTTTCAGGCTAATGTGAACAAAAATAGGGTGTGTATCTCGGGATGGTTAACAGAGGAACTGCAACCAAATTCCCCCACTCAGAATATATGAACACTAACTGGATATTGAATGATAGTGAGTAATTATTGTTCATTCTTGTCATTTTTTAAACCTCACCTGAAAATATGTTTTTACCGATTTGAGAGAGAAAGGGTGGGGGGAAGAGAGAGAAACATCAACGTGAAAGGGAAACATTGATTGGTTGCTTCCTGTATGCGCCCTGACCAGCTTGAACCTGCAACCCAGGTACGTGCCCTGCCTGGGAATCAAACCCGCAACCTTCTGGTGTACAGAACGACATTCCAACCAACTTGAGCCACACAGCCAAGACTTTGGTATTCTGTTTCTAGAAGAGTACTTATCTTTTAGAGACAGACACCGAAATAGTCACAGATGAAACATCTCTCAACTCCGAGGAGTTGTTTCAAAGCCATTCTGGAGCCGGGGAACTGCGCAGGGGAGAGAGGACACGGACTGGCAGGGAGCTGGTAAGTGTTGCAGCTGGGCGCTGGAAAACAGGGGCTCCTTGTTCTGACTCCTGTCCGACTACTTCATATAGTGTTTGAAAATGTTCAAAGTACAACACTAAAAATATTCCTCACTTTTCTAGCTGTGTGAGTTTGAGCAAGTCACTTAACTCGTCTGGGCCTTAGTTTGCTGGTGTGTAAAGTGGGGATCATACTAGCTCCTTCCTGGATGGCTGGGAGGATTCGGGAGGCACAAGGATTCAGGACACAGGAGGATAATGGGGATGATGTGCTCAGCACAGAGCCCGGCACACCGGGGCACGCCTGGGGACACCTGGGCAGGAGCGCACCTCCTGCTCCGCGCGGGAGTTCAGAGGAGTTAAAGAGGTAGCTGGCCAAGTGCATCTTTCCCTGGGATGTGCTGGGAAATCCACCCCCGGCAACCCGCCCACCGCCACCCCGGCCCCAGCCCCGCTATCACACTTGGAAGGCCTCCCCTGGGATAGAATTCTGGCCTTCTCAGATTCGATCTTATTTAAAGAGATAGGCTCCTCTCCCCTCCCTTCTCCCGCTTCCAGATCATGGGCGATCATGCCAGCTTGTATTTCGAGAGGTGAGAAAAGCAAATCTAAGAGACGATGCCAGGAATCGAGACTAAATGAGTTCACAGATTGGGAAGGCCCCGAGCAAAGCTGTTGTTGCTCGCGGCTGCGGCTCCCAGGGGATTCTCCCACCCCCGCCTTCGCTGCAGGCCCCTCGGCCCACCCTCTGCTGGGAAGCCGTGTCCCCCACTCAGCGCAGAACCAGCTTCGGCGGGGAAAGGCAGGTTGTGGGGTTCTCAGAGCATGAGGCCCGCGTCCCCACCCCGGGGAGCCCAGACTCACCTTCCACACACATGCAGTCATCGAAGCATTTGTTGTTGAGGCCCCGGTTGTGGGGCACGCAGAGGTGCTCCCGCAGGCCGCAGCAGGTCCCTGCCGCACAGCAAGCACACATGGTCAGCCAAGCCGAGCGGGCCCTCCCCACCGGCCGGCTCGTGGTCCCACTGGACAGGAGATCCATCATCTCCGTGGCAAGGCCGTGCCCTGGCAGGGTGCGGCCATCTGGCGTGCAGGGCTCCCAGCCAGAACCACTGATGGATGTCGTGGCCCAGGCCCCTGCGGGCGGGTGGCAGAGACCCCAGCTGCCCCAGATGGGCAACTGATTGATCATGGGAAGGGCGGAGGCTGTGTTGGATCACCTCCCCGGGAGAGGGGGTGGAACAGCTAGAGGCTGCCCGTTGTGGAGTCAGCTTAGAGCTGGGGGCGGGCCTCAGGGACCACGGACACCAACGTCCCCTTCGGGCAGATGGGGAAACTGAAGCCCGCGGGAAGCAGCGAGATCTCCCCAGGCAGGCCCAAGGCATGGCCTCGCCCACTGTGGGCCAGCACTCAGCGCGACTGTCCAGTTGGCCCAAACTCCAGCCTTTTCTCTCTGCTCAGGGTGAAAACAATGGTTTGGAAAGAGAACAGCCCGCCAGGGAGTCGTTGGTCGAGCTCACACAATGCCAAATGCTGGCTCGGCCGCTGTTTTCTGGAGTATTCTGGCCACTGAGTAAACCACGGAGCACCGTGGAGGTGTGCCATTCGGCAGCTCTCCCCCTGGGTGGCATTTGCTGTCCAACAGCGAAGAGAGCACTTAGCACCTTCAGGACGGCACCCTGGCTGGGCCCATGGCGCGCTGTTCCCTGAGCAGTCCCAGCCAATGATGGGCCTGGCGATCATGGGCAGGGGCCATTTCTGCCCACCCAGCAGGCAACGTTTGCTCTGCAGCACCCCCATCGGCGGGAGGAGACCGACCACAGGGCAGGATTCCCAGTCCGTTTCTGCTCCTCCCCAGTTTATCATGCACGGGCCCTCCCCCCCACTCCCCCACCTCCCACACATCCAGCTCCTCCCCAGAGGATGCTTCTGGGAAGCCCCGCCTGAGCCATCCAGGGCCGGCAGTTTGGGGCGTCAGCCCAAACATCAGGCCCTTGCTGTCAGACTGCCTTGATGAGCACAGCGGCTGAGCAGGTGAGGAAGTCGTTGAAACAGCCACACAAAGCCCAGCAGTGAGTGTCATGATGGGTCCCAACCAGATTTTAGGAGGAAGGTGGGGGGCGGGGTGTCATCCTGACATAAGGCAGTGCATGGGACAGTGGTTAACCGGGCAGACTCAGGTGTGGGGCGCTTCCTAGCTGTGCGACCTTGGCTGGGACACTTGGCCTCTCCAGGGCTTAGTTTCCTTGCCTGAAAACTGGGCGTGACAGGGTCTCTTTCTCTGGGTGGCTCTGAGGGTTAAATACAGTGTGGCAGCAGCTCTCAGTAAAGTGGCAGCTGGCACTGTTGCCACTTACTATCCCCAGAGGGCCGTGAACCTGAAGTCCCTCCTCATGTGCCTGGGAAGGCCCGCCCCACCCCATGCAGGTCCGCCTGCACCCAGCCCGGTGCCTTGAAGGTGGCGCTGGTTTGGTACCTGGCAGGCAGTCTTGGTGATGGTCGCACGGCTCCCCTTCGGCTGCCGAGGTTTCATTGCCATCACTGGAGAGTTTGCCCCGGTGTCTCTCTGGGGACAAGGACATCTGTGGTCAGGGGCTGAGGCCCAGCGGAGCAGAGAATAAGCACAAGGACACCTGTGTCACAGTGCTCGTACTGCCACTCCTGCCGTGTGGCTGGACACTCTGCCTTGAGTTCTCTCTTTTCTAAAATGGGATCAACTGTGGTATGGACCTAAGTTTTTTTCCCCAGGCTATGTGACAAGTTCTCAATAGTGGTATTTCCATTTGGGAGGTCCGTTCCAGTGTGGACGCCATGGCCCGCCCACCCCCCACTCTGGACATCTCTAGGTCAGGCTGGGCTGACCAACAGAGATGGGGGGCGGGGCGGCGGGAGCCCAGGCTCGGGGGTGGCAGATACCTTTCTTTTTCGCGGAGGGCCAAATCTCAGGTTTTAAGTCTTCATAATCGGTCCAGTCGAACAAAGCCATGTCCAGCGTGGGCATCACCTCCCCGTCAGGCCTGGGATGAGCCTGCAGAAAGAGGGTGGAGCGGAGAGAACGTGGAGCCCCCAACAGATGGAAGCAGAAATGTGGGGCCCCAGGGCCAGGGGGCAAGGGAGGGGCTCCTTGGAGACCAGCTCATCTTCGGCTCTACAGTCCCTTGTGGTTCCTGCCCCAGCAATCGCCAGGACATTTGCCTCATTTGACATTCAAGCAGGAGGGTGCCTACAGGCGACCCATGCAGAGGGCGGGGGTCGGGGTCGGGGGGTGCTGGGAGGCAGTCGTGGCTGCTCAGGGGCTCTATACCCATGTGGAGGGAGTTCACTTCCCTGCCCCTTCGTGCCCCTGCAGAAGTTGTCAGCTCTCCATGGTGGTACTGCCGAGGCCGTGGCCGCGGTTCCGTTTCCCTCGCAGCCCCGGGCCAGCTGTCTCAGGGCTGGGTCTGCCCACAGCAGGACGTGGGCAACAGAGGAACCTCCTGGGGCTGGGTGCTCAACGGATGGACTTCAGGGGCCTATGACGGCAGGGACAGCCCTGTATTCTTTGGGGATGGTCCACAGCTTTATCAGAATCTCAGGGGGTGCAAGACCCAAAAAAGAGAATAAGAAAGATCTGCTAAAAAGTAAAGTTTTTCTTCTACCTATATGTTATTGCTCATTTTTAATTATTTGCTATTATTTTGATAATATTTCCAAATTAGGATATTATTTTGGAAAATATTTCAAAGCTACCCAAGAGGAGCAATGACGCACACCCTGTTAATTGCAAGAATGATGCAATGAACTCCCGCCTTCATTCCCTCTAGACTTGCCAGTGGTAGCAACCTGGCCGCACGCTCACCTGCTCGCTCTCCAGACATCTGCTCTGAAGGCCTGAAGCACATGCTAAATCTTAACTAATGCTTGTTAATTCTGGAATGCGGGGACCTGGTTTCTTACAGTATTGTGATCCTCTGCACTTTTCGGTATGTATAAATGCTTCCCCAAGGGCGTTGATCTTCTCAGCACAGAGACCAGTATGCTGAGCGGACACTGGCGTCCTTGGCTGTCCCTGAAGTGAGACCCCAGGACCACTTTCTCCCAGACAGTGGCAGCCCTTTCAGGACAGAGTGCCCGCCGGGCTGTAGCTGGGCTGCACGGGCATCAGGAGACCCGGTTTCCGGCTAGCCCCAGCGGCCTGCACCCATTCCCTCTCACCACTATGCCCCAGTCTCCCTAGATGTCCTAAGAAGGATTTGCATGATGCGGTCTCAAGGACTCTTCTGGCTTCAAGGCAGTTCTGAGGCCGCTTACCTGGGGCCACAGGGATGTGACAGGCAGGATCAGGGACCCTTCCGTGGCAGGTGCTGCCTCAAAGGTGGTTAGGTACAGTACGGTAGGGGCCAGGCTGGTAGAAGATTCCTCCATTGCAGCGTCCGGCATGTGCTCTTCGAACTCCACCTTCTTCATCAGGGAGCTGGGACCTCGGACCAAGGCTCGGCCTGAGACATGGAGTGGTAAACACAGAGCCTTTGTCTGCTCGCCACCCTGTATCAGCCCAAAGCAGAACCCACATTTCCTGCTGCAAACAAGGGGGCGGTAGGCATCCTATAACAAGCCCTTGGTTCGCAAATGTTCCCGCTGCCCACACTCCCGGGGAGGTGGGAACCACGGGCAGGGGCGAGGGACTTTCACTGTTGCCGGGGAGACAGCCCAAGGGTCCTTGGTTGAAAGCAGCACCCAGCAAGTCCAAGCCGAGGCTGGCGGGGCGCAGCCAGGGGAGTAAGTACAACAAATGGGAGCTGATAGCATCGCTGATGAAAGCCTTGCTGGAGGGGTAACATCTGAGTAGGGGAGCAAGGCAATGAGGCTGAGCTGAAGCTTATTGCACACAAGAGAGTGCCTGCCGGGCGGTGAAAATCATCACCCTGTTTGCAGAGGACCTGCTGTGCATGAGAACCCTGTTGCAGGCCTGGTCCTGCGTCACGAGCATTGTTTCCTAGGCTCTGCAGCAGCTCTAGGAGGCAGGCACTCGTTCAGCCTCATCCACAAGGAGGAAACGGAAGCACAGAGAGGCTAAGAGACTTGCCTGGGGGCACACAGCTGGTAAAAGTCGAACTGCGAGCCCAGCTGGGCCTGAGTGTAGAGTCAGTACTTTTTACCACCAAAACCGCCTTTGGAGCCATATGGGCATGAGGTTGGGTGAGCGTAACCAGGCAGGTTGGGGTGGTGGGGAGCTAAGGGGCTTTGGGAGAAGCTGGAGGGCCTGGGCTCTTCTTGGCTTCTTTTTTCTCACGTGAGATCTGGCTTTAAGGCTGGTTGGGTCCGTTGGGATCGCTCCTCTCTCTGGAGGTGAATCCCAGAGAGCAGCAAGGCCGCTCTGGGATCGTCAAATCCGCTCTGTTCATTTTCCAGGCTTCACAGCTGGTCAGCAGGGCAGGGCCTGGCCTCCGGACCTCCGTGGTCCCCCCCCTCCTCTTGCCTACTCTCTTAGGAGGGTCCACTGGCCCACTGGAGCTGGGGGTGGGGCTGAGCTGAGTCGGATCCACACACCAAGTGTGCCCTCTGCCTTGGCCTCAAGGATGCCAGCATCCAGGAGTGGGAGGCTGAGTCTAAGCTTCCCCTCCTCCCGCCCCCCTACATACACACACTTGGGGGGTCTCAGAAGACCTGCAGGGAAGCAAGCCCCTGCCCTTTGCAGGGAAAGCTGGGGCTGAGGCTCCACCCACCTCCTCCTACCCACCCTGGCCCCATCCCTGTTTGCAGCTCTAGACCTGCCCCTAGAGGCAGTCTGGTCACAGGAAGAAACTTGGGAGCCAGGTTTCAGCAGGGGGCTGGAGGCCGGGTGAGGCTGGGGAGGGGCCAGCGAGGGGACTGCTGGGAAATGTTTGTTCGAGACCGAGTGGGCGGCTGGGGCCAGTGAGCGGCCAGATGTTCACAGGGTTTGGAAATGTGGAGGACACTTCACGGAAGGCGAGGAAGGCTCAGGGGCGGGAGCGCTGCAGGGGACCAACACGCGGTGGCCGGAGGGATAGCGACGGGGTGCCTCTCCCCCGGGACGTCTGTGTCCAGGTTGGATGGAGGGCACTGATTCAGCATCAAGAGAAAGCTGAGAATGAACCAGTGACAGCTGTGCGTTGTCCCTGACACTTGCCAGGCACCACTCTGAGCACTCTACGTGGCCAGTGGCCTCTTAATCCATGCTGAGGGTACACGGGGGCCACAAACCTCGTTTTGCAGAGGGAGAAACTGAGGCAAAGGCCGGTGACTCGCCCTGGGCCACAGAGCTAGTAAATAATGGAGCCAAGATCGGAACTTGGGCAGATCTGGCTTCAGAATCTAAGCTCTCAACCCCAGCTCTATGCTTCCAGGTTAATTAAGTGATGTTCTTGGTGGGCACCGAACTGGTCCATCCCTACTCAGTAGGATAGATTTAGGTCAGATACAAAGTAGAACTTCTTGACTTCTGAGGATCATCTATTGACAGGAGTTTCTATGGCCACATGTCCCTCTCCTCCTCCTCGTCTCCAGCCCTAAAGCTCCCTTGGCCATTGGGTCTGAGCCCTCTCCCCTCCCCCACCCAGCCCCTCCCTTCCATGGGAGGACACCACGCAGCCCAGTTACCTCTGTGCAGTTTCAGCCTCTCCCTGCGTCTCTTGTGCTCCCTGCCACGTTTCTTCCCTGGAGACCGGTTCTCCTTCTCAGGGTAGGGCAGTGGCAACCCCAGGAGCAGATTCTTGTCCTGCAGCAGGCCCGCAGGACTTTGTCCAGGCAGCGGCGCCCCCGCGCCTGGCAGTCTGGAGGCCTGCCTGGTGGAGGTGCCGACAGCTCCGGCTCCCTCCTGGGCCCGGCCAGGCATGCCAGCACCCCGCGGCTCCTTCTTGCCCAGGCCGCGCCGGCGGTGGTGGCTGACCTGGGGTGTCCACAGTGCTGGGCCTGGGAGGTTGACGTGATTCTCAGGGAGGTGTCGAGCCGCGGTCCCGGGTCCCAGGGAGCCTGCCAGGCTCAGCTCCAGCAGCAGCAGGAGGGCCAGGAGAAGCATGTGGGCAGCACGGGTGGCGGGCCCCGCCATGGGCTCCTCCTGTGAGAAAGGCGGCCCGTGAGGGGCTGCCCTCCTCCCCCCCTTCCCACCCTCAAACCCCCTCACTTACATCATTACAGCCCGGGGTTTCCCAACAGGGACAGAGAGGGGACTTTGCCCCCCACAGGACACTTGGCAAAGTCTGGAGACATTTTTGGTTGTCAAAACTGGACAGTGCTACTGACTCTGCTGGCCGGAGGCCAGAAATGGTGGCAAACATGCTCCGATGCACAGGACAGTCCCCTACGACAGGCTCCCCACTCCAGAAAGACCGTGGTGCTGGGGCTGAGAACCACCCCCACCCCGCCCAGAAAAACAGCTTAAGCAGCATCCAGGTTCCGGATTAGTCTAGAATTCCTTCTCTGCACAAACCTCTGCCCGGTGCCGAGTCCCCTGGAATGAGCTCGGAATTACGGCTCTAGTCCCCGGGACTTATCGCAAAGCCTAAATTCAAATAAATGGAATAATAGCGCTTGGGCATGTGCCATGGGCGGGAATCACGTCCAGTGCTTGACGTGAAATTGTGTCACCTGGTCCTCTCAACAGCTCTCTGACGCGGCGCCTACTGTTTTCGGAAGTGGAGGTTAAGGCTCGGAGAGGTGCAGTCACACCAGAGAAGTGTCACTTGTGTAATTCTTATGCCTGTGTGCGGAACTGTCACCGTCACGGGGCTATCCCTGGACACCCTGGTTCTGTCATGGCCTCGTGTTTTGCTCCTGGGTCAGGGCAGGTTCTGACTCGGCACCGTCCCTGCTGGGCTGAGAGGTTCTGGAGGCTCGACTCTAAAACCCTGCAGGGTGGAGTAAGCTGACAGTGTCCTGTGCCTCCCCCGACACCCCGCTTCTCCTCCGGAAGCGGCGCCCCCTCAGGGGACCCACAGCTCTCCAACTCCCCCGCCCCCGCACTGGAGGACGCATCAGACCCCTGGACGTTCCGGAGGACCTGGGAGCTCGGGCCCACCAGGCCTGCTGTTGGGGGCTGATGGGGTATCTGCCGGGCTCCAGTGAACACCCTGGGCCCTTCCCCCACCGCGCCCCCCTTTCCCCGCCACCTGTCTCACTCCATCCAGACAAGTGCTGCGCGAGGTTAGCCAGGCTGATTGAATGTTTATGGACTCCCGGGCCCCCTGAGTGTCCCGTTGGCTCACAAAGGTGCTTACACACCGCTTCCTTGTGATTTGTGGCCATGTAACTGTCCAGGGCTGCGGAAGGGCCGCTGGGCCTGTGAGGGTTCCCGCATGTTCCCCCAGCCCTCTCGGTGCCCGCAGCCCCACACTGGCCTCCACCCCAGGTGCACCTCTCGCCCACCCTGCCTGAGGGGCCCTTGACATGGGCGGGAGGGCAGGAGGGGTTGGGGGCTGGCGCCGGAGCAGGCTGACCCGCTCTGAGAGAGTGTGCCACCTGCTGCCCTTCACTTGCCCCCCCTCAGCCCGACCTGGGACGCCCTGGTCCTCTGGGAGGCGGGGGCTGGGCCTCCATCCCTTCGGTCTGCTCTTCCTGGAACCGCGGGCTGGGAAGGGGGCTGTCCCGTCACTTCCCCTCTCAGCCCCTGCGCCTGGAGCCGCCTGCCTGTCCAGGGCGGGCGAGCCTCGGTGAGCCGTGTGGGACCCCGGGGTGGGCTTGTTGGGACAGCCCTGTCTCATCGCACACCCTGCCGTTCCTAAGACTATCAGCGCAGCAGCCCTGGCCTGATGGCCGGTCCGCCTGGCAGGCTACAGGGGGCTTCCGCACCCTCAGCCTGCCCTCCAGCCTTGCCCCCGTGAGGGTCCTGGAGGCCGGGCTCAGGCCGCAGGGCTGCCGGGCCGGAGGAGGGGGCCCATTTTAAGGGCTGTTAGTCAAGCATTGTCCCCCTTCCAGGGGCCCCTTGAACCCTGTTTTTAGGACTGAGGCATGATGTCATCTTTGTCCCTCCCCCTCCCTGTGCCCCTCGAATCACACCTGCAGCCTGCCTGGGGCGGGGGTGGGGATGTCCGCGTGCAGTTCCGGTGCACCCATCCCTCTCCCCAGACCCTATCAGCACCGTCCTCTGCCCCCAGACCCGGCCTGCACTGCTGCCACATTACTCTGATCATGTCCCCGCCCCCTCTCTCACCCCGACTCAAAACTAGACTCAAAACTATCCGTGGCTCCCTATTGCCTTCCCTTTTAATCCCAGGCTCCTCAGTTGGGCACTTAAGACCCTGTGGAACGTGGCCCCAACCTAGCTTTGCAGCCCTGACTTCTGCTTCCTCCCCTGCACAGCCGATAGAGACTATTCCCTGGGCCCCAAACACACCCCATCTTTCCTGTTTCTATTCTCCCTCTGGCCAGTGCCTCTGCCTGGAACAACCTCGGCCCTCCACCCCCATCTCTTCAAACCCTGCTTGTGTCTGGGCCCCATTCCAAATGTCCTCTCTCCCAGGAGGCCGTGTCCAGTCCCCCAATTCGCTGTGCTTCCTCCTCTGTGCTCCTACCACCCCTTGAGGACCTCACAGGCCATTTCCTGCTGGGTGATCAGCTTTTCTTAAAGCCCCTGACAAGACAGGAAGATCCTCTCAGGCTGTTTCACTTTTCCCACTGGTCCTATTGGATCTATAGGACCCTGCAAATAATAGGCGCCAATGACTATGGATCGGAATGGGAGTGGATTGAGCGCAATTGAACTGGCACCTGAGCACAAGATTGTGAATACATTCTCAGGGATTGTGTGTGTGTGTGGGGGCGGGGGGCGGGGCTGGAGTGAGCCTGGTGGACTTGGCACCATTTTGTCCCGGCAATTGCCTGGAACTCCCTCTCCAGGCCCACAGGGCTTACACGCAGATCTTGGCACAGCCCAGCAGCCAAGATGCCAGCCTGGCAGGGAGCCACTCAGGAAATGTGGGTTGCGACAAAGCCGTGCCAAGGATCCACAGCGATGCAGGGCTCCGGGCGTTTCTGTCGCTCTGGGAGCCAGTTGGAGGCTGCATCACAAAGCACCAAGCATCCAGGCAAAAGGGGGCAGCAGGCACCCCTCCCCCCGCCTCCAGTCAGCCACGGAGGACTCTGCCTGGGGCTTGCTGGCAAAGCCTGCTCCTTTGGGGCTGGGGCTGACTCCCTCCGCCCTCCAGACTGGGGACACTCAACAGCTTTGGAGCTGCCCTGACAAGAGTTGTCGAGGGACATCAGGACCACCCAGGGACGGCGCTCTCACAACTGAGATTTAATAGTGACTCATTAAAAGCAAAGCAAAACAAAAGCAATCGTGAGAACGAGGAGCTGCCACTCCCTATGCAGCAGTGGAGCCCAGGCAGTTACGTGCTTATTTCATCCATTTCTTATTGCATCCTCTCAACTGCCCTGCAGGGCGGGTCATTTTCCGTGTTCAAAATGAGGTCACGGAGGTGCTGAGAGGGTAAGCCACAAATCCAAGGTGACCCAACCAGTGAGCGGCAAAGCCACTCGAAGCTCTGGTTCTCCGCACAGTGGCAGCCCTTGCTCTCCATCGCCCGTGCACGGTGCTGCCTCGGGGCTCACCTGTGTCCGCAGCATCTCCGGACGTGGCCATGAGTGCCATCAGGACCCAGCAGGAGGGACCAGGGCCAAGGAGGGGCGAGGGGTTTATCTCAGGCCCTTATCCTGTCCCCACACTGTGCAGAGTTGAGCTGCAAAGCTGTCTCCACCCAGAAGGCTGCCAGGAAGCAGCATCACATGCAAATGAAGGCAGTTAATCCAGCCTGGAGTGTGCTTAGATTTCTGAGCCTCACTTCCCAACAGCCTCGCATTTGGGGGCCACGAGGCAGGGGGGCTCCTGCCTGGCAGACAACTGTGGAGCCGGGCTGACAACGGGGAAATGCAGGGCAGCTGTAGGTCCTGCAATCTTGCCTTGATGATCAACTCACCGGCTGCCTGGTGGGTTGTGGGAGGAGCAGGAGGCAGCTGGGGGCTGAGGGTGGGTGGCGTAGGGCTGGGCCAGGGGCATCTGTCTGATGGGGACCCCGTGTCTGGGATACCAGCGATGCAGGCCACCGTGCTCACTCCAGGCTGTGGGCCAGACAACCGCCCACTGGGAGAACTAGGCCATCAACCTCCCTCCCTGGCCCTGGGTCTCCTCCGCAAGCATGAAAGGGACACCCTTGGCACAGATGTTTCAGGGGGTCTCTAAGCATATGATTCTAACCTCACTTTTTATTTTTAAAAATATGTTATTTATTTATTTTTAGAGAGAGGGGAAAGGAGGGAGAAAGAGGAGGGAAACATCCGTGTGTGGTTGCCTCTATGCACCCCCTACCGGACAACCCAGGCGTGTGCCCTGAGTGGGAATTGAACCAGCGACCCTTTGGTGTGCAGGCCGGCGCCCAATCCACTGAGCCACACCAGCCAGCGCCAGAGCTCACTTTTTAAAAATATATTTTCAACTATTATGTCAACCAGAGTAAAAATAACAGAGACTCTCGATGTATTCTCCACCCTATTTCCCCACAGGCATAGCCCCATAGTGACTTAGGGTTCTCCTGCATCACTGCAGAGTATCCCAGGGACACAAGGCAAGCCATTCGAAAGAACTGTTGCCATTTGCAGCTACTTATTTACATGTAAGTTCCAGAGTTTTCTGGACCCGAACGACCAGAGCCAGTTCGAGGCTCAGTCTCATAGAGACAAGTGCCACCAACGTCCCTTGCATTCTTTCCTGTCACTGAGGGACAGCTTCCTTTTCCTCAACGACTTTAAAATAGGGCAACATTGTAAATTGGGGGTGCAGCAGTGGTCACATAGCATCTCTAGGAAGAAGAGGCTATAAAGAGTCTAACTGCAAGTAGAGCTTGAAATTGTGTCTGCAGACAGTGGAGAAAATTGCGATTCAGGGAGATTATTGGTAGCGGTGGGGTGCACACTGCTCACTAGCGCCGCCTTTGTTTGTTTCGTGTATCGGGGTGACGGGTAAGATTGCATGGAAAATGATTTGCACTGCTCAAAATAATTGGGGTGGGGGGAGTAGGGGAAGAAGACCCCTGGGTCATTGGCTTAGACGGTCTC